TTCTGTTTCATAATTTTGAAACTAAGACTAGAAGATAATGTTTTTGAGTAAAGTCAATTTCAGTTCTACAAAAATTTAAATCTAATATAGACTCAGTTTCAATCGTCTAAGACAAAAAAATTTTTTTAGTCGGCCATTGCCACCCGGCCGTGGTGGAGGCCGGCTGCCGTCAAATGTCAATCCTCAACACCAACAACCGCTTCCTCCACGACAACATCGTCCTCTGCGCGCAACGCATCATCAACACCATGCCCGACAAGCTCTCCGTCTGCTATTTCGTCAATTCCGGTTCGGAAGCCAACGACTTGGCCCTTCGTCTCGCCCAAATCCACACCGGAAATCGCCAAATCATCACTTTGGAGCAGTGAGTGCTTTCGTTTTTGACCCCCACCCCACCCCCACCATCATTTACAGGCCCGTGGACTCGGACCCAAACTCTCATTACCATAAATCCCAATTGTGTGCTTTTGACGTGTTTCTAATGAGTTTGTTTCATTTTTTTCTTACAGCTAACACGTGTTTACAGATGAAGACGAAGAGCGGGGAAGGCCCCAGGTGGCTGTCTAAGGATAGGACGCGATCCACGTGTGGAGAAATTATCATTGTTAAAATCTAAGTCTGTCAGTGGTTTTTTTCGTGGTTTTTTTTGGTGTTTTGTCTTTTTTTTTTTTTAATTCAACTGACCGACTTGGATTTTTTTTGTGTTTTAAATATTGTATTGTGTGGGTCACGTGGGGCTAAGTTAGGTCAGGTCAGGTCAATCTGGTATTTTTTTAGTGCGTACCATGGCCATTTGACTTCGTTGATTGACATTTCCCACTATAAGTTTAATCTTCCTGGTGGGCCGCCACAAAAAGACCATGTCCATGTGGTAAGTCCAAATAATAGCAAAACTATTAGTCGTAGAAAAAATGTAATATCAGATTCAAAATCCTGGCACAATTTTGCATAAGAAATGTCAAAGTCTGAGAAGTTTTACTTAAATTTATGGTAGTTGAAAAAATATAGTATGCAACTACTATTTTTTTTTTTTGAAAGAAATCTTGAGTCAGTTTTAGATAAGAAAAGTCAAAGTTTAATAAGTTTTACATAAATTTATAATAACTGAAAAAATATAGTATGCAACTATGTATTACATTGTTTTTTGATTGAAAGAAATCCGGAGGCAATTTTTTATAAGAA